TACTGGATAAATACGACTTTATACCAAGCTATACAGATCGATGGTCCTCAAAAAAGTATTCGGCCTTAAGCTGAATATCGTCTACATCTTTGCTGACGATCTTTAATATTCATCGGCACTTTCATTACTTCGTTTTTGTTTAGATATTCTGTATAATAAATGCAGACGAAACGATGTAAATTAAGAAAATGCACGGTACATTTTCTGTTTTGTGAAACTTATTTGTGAAATTATGGTTTTCAGTTTATTTGTATATTTTTGATATTCGAGTCATATATTGAAGCTGTGAAGTTTGCTTAAATCAATAAAATCGGGTTTTAAATGAAAAAAAAGTGGAATACGAAATGTTCTTTTCAAGCTGAAGCGGTGAAGAAAAGAACATAACCCTGTGGCGATCATCGTCGAATATGCGCTACGCGAAATGTCGGCAATTGGCACATCATCAACTGATGTAACATCTCCTCGAGAAGATTTCTCGTTTGACAATTCAGGAACTCTCTCTCTCTGAATCTGTCGGCGTGTTGTTGCTGCTAAAGTCGAGCTGCGGTTCAATGCCATACACACCAAATATAGAACCAAATGGTTTTAACAGCTCTTCGAATCCCATCAAATTTTCATCAGATTCTTTAAGAGAGCTCAAAACCATCAGCTGTGGAACCATCCGTCGGTTGTTCTTTAATCTTTCTAGTTGTTCATCAATTTTTCTTCACTTTTAATTTGAAAATTTTTTTATACATATAAATATATATTTCAATACGTCTACTTTCAAATTGGTTTGAGTAAAATGACTGACGATAAGATACGATAAGAAGCGATATAAAACTATGGCGGTAAAGCTGATGAGCATACCGCAACAGCGTCGTCTGACGATTCAGTTACCGAATCGTAATTTTCACTGACGATGACGAATTCATCATAAGGCCGATTAACTGATAACTTCTGCAGAATGCGCAATGAGTTGGCGAAGGTATCTTTTCAAACAATCCCTTGCTAGACAATGTACGATCAAGTAAATTCTTCCCGATAAAGACCGTTTGGTATGCCTTTTGTCATTTGCAAAATTCTTCTCAAGAAATTTACATATATGTATACAGGCCGCAACAAATTGAAATAACATTACAACCTCCTGCAAATCTAGGCACAGGTGACCGAAATGTAATAAGAAAATATCAAAATGGATGGATAATGAAACCTGATGGACCAGTCTTGCACAATGAATATTACTACGGAAAATGGCTCAAGATAATCCAACTCGCAAGATCGGTAGCCACTACAACCTTACTCAGCCCTTTATGTATCAAGAATATAAAGTTTAGTACGAAAATTAGTTATGCTCTTCAGAGCGTAATATTTTTCAAACGTTTGCTCGGCTACTTGAGGTATGGCCGTTTAAACATTTTGGATGAGTGATTTCATAGACTATTTATATAATATTATTCAGCCTACAGTGAAGATGGTAAATTAATTCGTACAGCCTACCGATACGTCTTCTTCTTTACTGGCTTACGCGATTATAGTCGAATTTATAACATCCGACAGTTTTTTCGCTGTTTGCCGCCAATAGAAGATTCCAAGTACAGCCAAGTCCTTCTCTACCTGGTCTATACAACATAGTAGAGGCCTTCACCTTCCTCAGCTTCCACAATAAGTCTTACGCAAAAACTTTCTCTCGAAACCTCTTAACGCCGACTCATCAACAGTAAGGGAACGAAAAGCGACTTGTAGTTAGTTAGAGTTAAGTTTGTTCGTCGAGAGAAGATTTCCAATTTCATTTTAATTGACTACTTAGTCCAAAGTAGCACAATCTGGCATTGTTGTTGGTGTAAACTGGTTCCAAGATAGACGAAGTTGTCTACGACTTCAAAGTTATGACTGTCAGCAGTGACTTGGGAGAGGCGTAGCGAATGCCAAGAAACCGTCATTGTTTGATGATAGGAGAAATTTCGACTTGCTCTCGTTCGTGAGCAGAACTCACGGCGCGATTACTAAAATTATATTATCTTACATAGCCAAGCAACGTCTGCATGACCAAGTAATTAGAGCCATAAAAAATTTTATTTAGAATAGATCGGCCCACTTCCCGGAAAGAAACGACAAAATTTCCTGTGAATCTCATCAAAAAGTTACCAAATTTGAAAAAAATCAAATCATCCGCGTAAATTTTAATATTGGCTTGTTCCTGGTCCATTTGGGGGATGCACATGTCTAATCCTCGAAAGAACTCTCAAGCTCAGCGTTTGAATAGCCTTTAGCCAAGACGAAGCCATTTCTGGTGAATGCGAAATTCGGACGTCTTTTCGGTTTGCTTTACGCAAACGGCATTGAACTTGTCGGTAGCACTCCTTATTGACAATTTAATCTGGTGACGGGAATTCATAGTTCACTATGCCATTAAAATCGAAGAACACAGTGAGCTTAACCTTCACATTTGACCGCACTTATCGCATATATTTTAAGTCTTGGCGAGCCTCCACTACAATGATTGCGCCTTAAATAAATATTTGTTTTGTTACGAGTTTCAGTAATTTTGCCTTTCGTTGACTTTCTTTTAACAAAGCTTTGGGCTGTCCCAAAAAAGTCAACAACAAATATATCTTTTGCTGAGAGTGCTGTAGAAATAGGTTCAACAGAGAAGCTTTGAAACATTACCATAAAACTCCGTTCGTAAAAAGCGATCCGCCAGGGCTCGGATCTTGGTCCAAAAATTAGAAATTAGAGAAAATTGATATTTCTAATTGTGGTCGCTCCTCCACAGGCAATTACTTGGCCACCGAGTGTATTTCAGACATTAAAAAAAATCTGGAAAAGCATCAAGACGCACACCACGAATTGGGGGAGGAAATCACTTGAGCGGTTACCAAGCTCCAGTTATACTCGTTTATGTTTATGTCAATGTCGCCATGTATCTCGTAAAGTTGAACGTTCTATAGTCTGTGGAGTTAGACGCAAAATACAGTAAACCTTCCACAAAACCGATCTTGAAAATTCCCAGTGTCAACTCATCCGATGTCAACAGCATTAACGCTTCCACGCCAAACACCAATGTACGAATGGTGAGTATGGTTTCTGTTCGTCAAGAGGGGATTTTACTTTTCATTTGCCTACTCAGTCCAAAGCAGAACCTGTTAAAAAGAGTGGTGTTTATTCTGCTTCCTAAGTAGGCGAAATTATCTAACGACGATGATACAGCTGTTGTACAACGATGTGGAAGGAAAGACGTGAGGGAACTGGCTGCTTGTTTGATGACAGGTCATACTTTGTCTTGTCCTAACATCATCGGCAAATTGTCTAGCACTTGAAATACTATTTAATCTATAAATTCATCATGTCTGAAATCTCCCTTCTCACCGTTTAGTGTGGCTTAGTGCCTGTTTCGCCGTGATAGCAGAGGAGAGAGTATTAGGCGCTTAGTGAATGATGAATTTACCAGTAGCCACACTGAGAAGGTCCAATTAGTTATTTGAAGGTGACACAATATTTGGCTTAGAATAAACTGTATGTCCACACATTTGTAGGAAAAACATCAAGACGCACATAACAGATTGGAGAAGGAGCTCGGCCGAAAAATCGATTCAGCGGTTACAAAGTGGTCACTTCGTCCTTCTCTTCCGTCGGTGCCTGGGTGCGCACCAGCTTTACTACCTTCATACATTTAGAACGAAGAATAAACAAAACAATCTTTTTGCGAGAATTTGCAAATCATAATTTTATTAGAAAAGCATCATCGCACATCACAATTTTTTTTTTAATTTTTTTTTGTAAATTTTTTTCTTAACTATTAAGTTGATTGTTATATTGAAATATCAATGTCTGACCTTAGGTACATCGGTTTGTTTGTTGTTTTCTTCAAAATAGTTAATCATTTGAATCAGTTATGTATATGTATGTAAAATAAATAAATATACAGCTTCTATGTTTGATATATAAGGCTAACGGCATTTACTCAAATTAATTAAATATTTTATTTTTATCTTATACGTATACATATACAATTGAAGGTAATGCATACCTCATAGTAATTCTTTGCAATGATAGAAAAATTACTTTTAAAAAAATTTAACAGCAAATATGTGCTACATATGTACATATATGTATACATATAATACTTTTCAATAATTAATACTAAAATCGTTCTAACTTCAAATATTTTCGATTTTCGGTAATACAATTTCGTTTTGCTTAATTGTACAAAATAAAAATTAATAAATATTTAAATACAGTATATTAAATAAAGAATTCCATTTTTCTAGATATTTATTTTAAATATGGTATATCAGTAAAATTTAATTATTTATTTTAGTAAATATATAATATAATAATTAGTCATACACTTTGCCGAAAGTGCGAATTTGCTTAAAATTCATTGATTTGCACACACACACACACACGCACGAAATATAATTACTATTACACTTATTTAGTTTGTTTAAGCTAAAATTTCGTCAAAAAGACATGCATACATATTTGCGACTTTTTGTTTTTGTTTTTACATAAAATTTATATATGTATATATATATTTATATATGTATGTATGTAAGCAAAAATAAATACTTTTATTTATAAGTATATATTAAATATTTGTACATACGCCTAGCCAGAGTTGAAAAAAATGCATTTATTTATTTTATTTTAATTATTTTTTTATTATTTTTTAAGGCATAGTTTTGAATAGAAATTAATGCAAAACATATATTGATAATACAAATTTAGCGAAAGGAAGAATTTGAAGAAATAAATTTTTAAAATTCCACAAGGCTATAAAAAAAATAAAAATAACATAAAAAAAATTTGAAAATTTTTTATGTTTAAAATATTTTCAAAAACTAAACTTTTTGATAATAATATTCTAGTGAATGTAGGTAGTTTATGAAATAAAAACTTAATTGAATACATTTTCAAAATATAAGACCCCATAAAAAAAATTAAATAACTGAATATATACATATTTCCACATATGAAAACAAAATTGTAATAAAATTTTGATAATAACGAACTGTAATAATAATTTTTGTGTTGAAGTGAATTCTGCTTGATTTTTTTTAAGCATTTTATATTTAAATCTATTTTTATTATTTATCTAATTTTCTCTCCGGTTATCCTTGCAATTCAGAAGAAAAACAATAAAAAATAACAAAAACTAAAGCATTTTTCACAACTCTAACATACATATGTGCATATGTAAGTAAATATTCATAAATTTATATGAGCATAGGCACCCTTAGTTTTTCAGTTTTAATACATAACATATAAGCACCCGTAGAATCCATCGAAATAACTTAAACATACTTACATAAGTATTTCATTTGTAGCAAAAATTTGCTGTTTTGTGGGATTTCCAAACTGAGTTTCAATACCAAGTATTGCCAAAAATAATGTTTCACTTAACTCTAGCATACATGTGGCGAATACTTGTGCAATTCCTTACATGTAGCACACATACAAAATATACTTATTATACGTACATATTATATATACGTGTATATATATGTATGTAGTCCTCAAAAGCTTATACAGCAACACCGTTGGTTCTAAATTGTCCAGGCCTTATCTGTTCCAACTCATTGTCCGATGCCTGCTGCAGATGGTATTCATGTTTTTGTGCATTCGATCTCGTTACGCAACAGCGCAGTATTTGACAATTCCGCCAGCAGTTGCAGCGCTCTTTCTTTATACTTTGTTAGCGCATTGATATTGATTAAGATTAAATAATATTTATTACAAAATATATACGCAAAATACATAAAATATGTGATACAGTGTAATGTATGTACACGTATGTATATTCATATGTATATGAATAAAGTTTAGGTTGTCAGTTGCTTATCAAATTTTATTTTATTTCAAAGCTCGAATTTGTTAATACACAAAGAATGAATAGAAAATATTATATATATTTTATATTTTCGGAGAGGGCGGCTAGTGTGTTTTCCCCCCAAAAGAGTTGATTGTATTTTATTCAATAACAAAAGTGCAAAATCCGAAATTGCCAAAAATTTAATTAAAATCTTTAATAAAGTAAATAAACCCTTTAGGCAACGATGCAGAAAAAGCAGCCCCCTGCCAGACTGGTACTTGGTTACTCGATAAGAGGATAAACTGTTAGTTTCACGCACGTACAAAACTACTGAATAACGGTTTGCGGATTAAAAAAGCTGGTGTGTATACCCTTAGTATATTATATAATCATACTGTTTGTTCGAAGGAATTCGGCTATATAGATATTGCCCTTCTCCATCGTGACAAAGTGATACCATAACCAAGAAATCCCTTTCCTTTTTCGTGAAAAACATGGGACCTTAGAACAAGTCAACCGAACAGCTAATAAAATTCGGAAGGTAATCGATAATAAGAAATTAAAAAATTAATTGTTTGATAAACTGCTTAGAAATACTTTTTTTTTTGTCAAATTTTTAGTGTATCTTTTATTTTAATTTATTCAAAACAGTTTCGCGTGAAAATATCTCCGTGGCACTAAAATTTTCAGAAATTATAAATCCAATAGTTATCGTCTTTACCCTTAAGTGTTCTATTAAAATGGCTCAAAACTACTTTTGTAAAAACTATTTATTTTTTTTAGAAAAAATGTAAAATTTAGAAAATATATTTGATGGAAATTATATATAATTTTTATGAAAATTTAGAAATCGTAATAATTTAATCCAAAGATTTAAAAATATAATGAGTTTAATTTATGTAATGTGAAGTAATTTTTTATATAATATTTTACGCTTAATATACGGACTGCTGTACTTGAAATAACTTTTTGGAAAAATTAAAAAAAAAAACACCAAACAAAAATTAATCTTTAAAAAGAGTAAAAGAGACAGAAATTGGAATGAACTTAAACCCGCTTAAATAAATAATAATGAATATTATGTATAAAGAAAATATAGGCATTTACCAATTAATGTCACTCCTATTAAAGTTAATTAATTTTATAAATTTATGTTGCGTAAACGCAGTCTAGTACTTGAAATAAAGCATTGAAAATGCCAAAACTTTGTTAATATGCCTATTTTTTTGGATGAATTGTTACCTTATTTTCTATGCTGAAAGTAAAAATTGATAAACAACCTTTAGCCTTGCTTTACTTCCATATTTCTTCACACGTACACGTGTATGTATACATGCGCTTAGCGAGCCATGCGACATGCATAAAATATGGTACATAAAATTTAAAAATAACATAAGCTACATACAAACGCATAAATGGCAATATTTACAGGAACGTTGGTATATATGTATGTATGTCCTTAGGTACACAAAGGTAAATATTTATACAGTCAAGCATGCAATTTAGCCCGATTCAGTGAGTATGGTTAGTAATTTTGTTTTCCGTTTATTTATTTTCTTTTTCGTGGTTAGGCCCAGGCATTTTTGGTTTTTTTTTGCTGATATGTATGTAAATATCTCTACATTAAGTTATTCACCAATTTTCTAAACTACAAATATTCATTTCAATTTAAATATTAAAATTACACAATAATTATTAATGGGTTAGTTTTCAGACAAAAAATGCTACATTCAAAATGTCAATCACAAAACCATATGTATGTATGTAAAGTAGGTGTTGTTTGCTCACTTAAGCGTGCGCGGATCTTCACGTTGGTACTTCGCAAACTCTAAGAAGATTTCCTCCAGTGTTGTCTGACTTATGGAGTAGTCTTCTATATTGAGCATTTCCCGATTCTTTTCCATTAAACCGAATATACTTGACCATTTGATAGCCGAAAGTGGAATGTAGAATGTGAGTATGCCTTGGTATTCTTCTCTATAAATATAAAATGAAAAACAATTATGAAAAACATTTGTATATAAACATATTTAACGGTATTTGTAAGTGGAGAATCTAGTATGAAGGTAATAAAAATGTTGTATCTTTCCATTGTTTATGAAACAGAGGTAAGAGTTTTAAAAGAGGACTTGCTTAAATTGATTTGAATTGAATTGTATTAAAAAGAAATATTGCAAAGAACAGGAAAATTCTGAATGTTTATGAAAGTACATACATATATATTTCATGTGGAGTACCGTAATTGACTGATTTATTGTTCAAATCGTCGTTCGTTTTTTTGGCAATGAAAATGTCAGATTGTCCCTTCTAAATATATGACTTCGATATAGAGTATCCTGTAATATAAATTTCTGTATCTGCTTTATGCAAAGCAGTCGTAATCTCTTCGAAGTTACAAATAGAGAGTGAGATTCGATCATGAGATATTTAGCTTTCCTAAAGTTATGTCAAAAGCAAGGTTTATGGAATTGAAGCAAGGTTTATAGAACACAAGGTTTCGACAACCGTTGAAGTCGCTGAACCAACTACATGTAACATATACAGTCGGAGGACTTGATATTTCCCTAATAAAAAGAAATGATATTTTTATTTAAAATATGTGTGCTTTTTTGCTCTTCATTCGATGCTTTATAAAAAGTGTTACAGTGATCGGATTTAGTTAAAATATGCGCCGTTTTGTTCGATGATCTGTTTCCATCTAGACGGCAACTTCATAATACATTCCTCGTAGAAGCCCCCTCCTTATTTGTATCCAGCCTTCTGCAGATAGTTCAAAATAGTTTGGTGACTAACTCCCATCTCCTGGGCGATGTCACGAGATGCAATATGCCGGTCTAACTCGATGTATTCCATGATTTGATCGGTATTTGTCGTCACAGGTCTTCCGCCGGCTGGCTTATCCATGGTGTCGTTTTCACCGGCTCTGAATCGTCGAAACCATTCCTCCGCGGTTCGAAGTGATAGAGTACCATCCCCCAAAACACCATTAATCTCACGGAACGTTTCTCTAGCGGATTTGCCTTTAACAAAGGAAAACTTTAAAATAGCGCGAATTTCGGTGTTAGTGAACTCCATGTTTACACGTCTATAACTGTTGAACGCAATATCCGAAATTAATCATGCATAGCGTTGTTTTGTAGGTTATGTCAAGACCTTTCAAATTATGTACAGTGTTGCCAGATACGAGCTCTTTGTACATAGCCGCGAAAGTCAAAAGACAAAAAAGCGGGCAACAACCTTATATATGGAAAAAAATATTTCTAATACAAAAGAAAATCTCAAAAATTACTAAGCAACAAGTGCTGTGCAAAATGTAAACCAGAGTCCATGTGGCCGAAAACCACCAAATGTGAATAAGAAAAATAAGGTACTGTTTCATTGGCGCTAATATGTAAGAACCTAACAATTTTTTAAGCAATGCTTCATTCTTGCATAGATATTATAGGATATATATAGTTAACAATATTCGATGCGTTCAAGTTTCCTTAATGCCAAATCTTCAAGTTTTCAGTCACGAAATTTTCTATCCAAATTTTTATCTATAATAACCCACGCACACTTTTCCATACCTGCGAATTTCCAGAAACGATCTTTTCACAAAATAAGGATTATCCATTTCCCAAAAGCTTTTTAACAGACAAGGAATATATGCGGAAATCTTTTTCTACATAACATTTTTAAAAACACTCAAATCATTCGTATTGTATGTATAATACCGAAAGTTAGTTTAAAAATAATATTGATTTTCTTAGTTTTGAAAATTTCTAAAAAATAAAATACATTTGTTCGGCATAAAACTATTTAGAACGTTTTAATTGCTTTAGATTTTTATAGTGATTTTTGTGGCTTGTCGAAGATTTTAAAATAAATTTTCATAATTTTATCTATGATACAAAAAACAATTTAGTTCCACTCAAATTTTTTTTCAAAAATATTTGCCATCTGACATAAAAAGGTTTTTTGACTTTTGCTACCGATTTCATTTAAAAAAAATAAATTTTCAACTTCATAAAGGTAAAAGAAAAATATACTACAAAAATTGCAAAACCTTTGAATGTAAACAAAAGAGTAATGAAAAACAAAACATACTCGTAAAAACTCAAAGGCTTTACATTGTATTTTCTGAAATCTAAGGGAAATAAAATTATTTTCAAGCGGCTTAGAATTTCTTTATAAAAAAAAATATATATATGAAATATTTTTAAAGCGGCAATATCTTGAGGTTAAAATTAAAATTAGGTATAATTTCAAAAAACCTTGAGTAGGAAGGTAGTTTCCCTTTTGTTCGTATCATGATTTTATCTATAAAACAACGCAACACTTTCCCCTAAAAATTCTTAAATTTGTATTACAATTTATTAAAGCTAATATCAATAACCATCAAACCATCCTGAATAGTTTTATGTCGAACAAGTGTATTTTGATATCCAAAAAAATTTAATTATAAAAAAAATATTATTTTTTAACAAAAAATTTTATAGGTCACAACTCTAACTTTTGATGTCATGTTATACGAATAGCATGAGAAAATATTCTCAAAAACGTTAAAAATTATCATAATTTCAAGCGAACGCGAGTTATCATAAAATACTTAATATAAAAAGAGATTTGCATATTTTCTTTTACTGTTTGGGAAATTGGAGATGCTGATCATGTGAAAAAAATCGTGTTTGAAAATTCGAAGCGGTGAAAAAGTGTGCAGTGATTCATATTAGTATTTTCTGTAAAATTAAAACTACACGTAAGACCTTGTGTCAAAAGCATTAGCAATCGATTTTAAGAATTTTCTTACGACTTGACAGTAGCACCTTGTAAAGTTTCCAAATATTTTGTTGCACCAAAAGAAACCGATTTTTCATATAGACGACGTTGACACTTTAATGCTTGTGGTATGCATCTTAAACGCAATAAATATGATCCATTTTTGAAGCAAATCAAAACTGGAGATGAAAAATGGATTGTTTACAATAACGTCAATCGAAAACGATCATGGTCCAAGCATTATGAAGTGCTACAAGCCGCTTAAAAGGCTGATATTCACCAAAAGAATGTTATGCTATTAGTTTAGTGGGATTGGAAGGGTGTAGTATATTATGAGCTGTTTCCAAGGAACCAACCGATTAATTCCGATGTCCACTGTGAACAACTGAACGAATTGAATACATTCACCAAGGACCAGCGGCCAGAATTAGTTCATCGTAAAGGTTTCATATTCAACCAGAACAACGCTAGACAACACATATATTTGCTCATTCACCAAAATCTGAGAGAGCTTGGTTGGCAACTGTTGATGCATCACGATATAACCCTGACCTTGCACCGTCAGACTACCGTTTGTTTCAATTTGTGCCCAATTTATTGAATGGTTAAACTTTCGAAAATGACGAGGCTATAAAATCGCACTTGGTTCAATTTTTTGCAGATAAAGGTCAGAGGTTCTATGTGCATGGAATAATGATGTTACCGGAAACATGGCTAAAGGTCATCCAACAAAATGGAAACAACATAATTGATTAAAATTCATTATAAAATTTATAAAAATGTATTTTCTTCCTTTAAAAAATCGCCGGATTTTTTTGAGGCAACCCAAAATACTGATAAATATTAAAATGCATGTGTGTGTGGTGGCAGTGGTAGCCAAGTGGTTAGCATTGCGACCAACATCAAAAAAGTTATTGAAAATTAATTTATATAAAAAAAATTTAAGATAAATTTTCTAATTGCGCTGGCTCCTCGGCAGGGAATGTCAACCCCTCCGAATGTATTTCTGACATGAAATAAAGCTCGTCATAAAAAAAACCATCAGGCGACTTAATATAAACCGGTTACAAAGCGCCAATTATATATTATATATGTATGTATATACGTACTGTAACAATGCCTGCGGGAACATGCGCTCAACAAACTCCTTCACTACTATAATATCCTGTTGCATTTTCACATGGGTCGGTGAGAGACCTGAGCCACGGCCCAGCGAACTAAAAATAAAAATTAAATTAAATTTAATGATTGCGAACAATTGGAGTCCATAATTTTGGTGGCACCTTCTTATTGACGGCCTCTTAGGATCAGCAGCACGCCGAACTTTGATCTTCAAAATCAAACCCTTGGAAAACTTATTCTTCAAATGTTGCGTTGAGCCGATGCACTTGAATTCACCATTCACCATAATGGCCAAACGCGTACACAGCGCCTCACATTCCTCCATACTGTGGGATGTTAACATAATGGATTTGCCTGAATCGCGTATACGGCAAACCATATTCCACAATTGTCGTCTAGCCGCCGGATCCATGCCGGTTGTCGGTTCGTCGAGATATATCACACTTGGACTGCCGATTACGGCAATTGCTGTGCTCAATTTTCGTTTATTACCACCACTGTAGTTAATTGTGGGCTTGTCCAAATGTTTCTTGAAACCAAAAGATTTCGCCAAATCCTCAATAATACGATTGATACGCGCACGTCGTACCCCACGTAGCAGACAGAAAATGTGTAGTGTTTCACGCCCTGTAAGGTCATCGATTAATGCATCGAATTGTGGACAGTAACCGATATCTTGATAAATTTGGCTCATTTCAGATTCCAGCGACATGCCCTTTATGTACGCCGAACCGAAGGTGATGCGCTCGTCGCCCGTCATCATTTTAAACGTAGTCGTCTTGCCAGCACCGTTGACGCCCAACAGACCAAAGCATTCGTGTCTAAAATATTAATAGCAGTAGAATTAGTTTCATTAACGACAAATATAAAAGTTATAATATTTTCACTTACTCTTTAACACATAATGAGACCTGGTTTACTGCTAAGAATTTGCCATAATACTTAGTGACGCCGTTAAGTACCAAATTTTGATTTGCAATTTGATCGCTGGACATTTTTAAAATACGTTCTTTCTCATTAGCAACATCATCATCAAAGTAGCTATCTTCCGGTGGCGGAGGCGGTGGTTTACTGAGGGTAGATCAATACTATAAATTATGATGTTCTTACAGAAATGTTCCTAAGTTAGATTTGAGCAAATTTTTCTGAACGATAATGAATTGATGTTACAGATTTGAGCAGAACAACTCTCTGGTTTTAGAAGTACAAATACTAATGTCGATGCCACAAGGACTAAGTGGTCCTAATGCTTGTTTAGTAGTTGAGATCAATTTGGGCACTTTATTTCAGATACACTTTGATCAAACCTTTAAATCAAAACCTTTGCTACTTACAAAAGTTTCTTCCTTATCAGATAAATCAGTTCGTCAATTAAGCCATATTCGCGTATAATAATCACAAGGAAGAATACTACTGTTGTAGCGGTCAAATATATGATTTCACGCATAATGCCCGGCTCCTCGAATGCAAAATATGGTACGGTGGCTAGTTTCGAAAAGAAAAAAAAATTATTATTGATTTTAAAACTCTGACCTTTTTAATGACTTACTGCAGCACTTTGGCAAAAGCGCGCAACGCAAAGCATCGGGAAGAACCTGGAGTACCTCACTGTTGCACGTGTTACGTGTAGCCCAATTAACATACAGATTATTCCAACCCATCGCAAGTGAGAAGTGTGGAAATATTCTGAAGAACCATTGTAAGCCATCTGCTACATCCTTAGTATCGAAGATGTCATATGACATTATGACAATGACGACGAACAATGCAACACCTGTGGGGGAAAAAAATTAACGTTATATTATTTTTCGAATGTTCGTAGATCCCCTTATTCTTTTCTAGAAAATTAGCAGCCAGTAAATTGGTTGCTATCAAATTCACCACCTACAACGATTCAAAGCACAAAAATTGTCTTTATTTCACGTTATTCTTTGATCGTACTCTTTCATATAACAGACTACTTAGACAATATTAAAGTAATGTATGCCTGGAAGCCAATAAGTCCCTGAAAAAAATGGATCGCTGATACGATTCCCGACCAAGGCACTTCTCCAGCTTTTGATGTGCGTTTTTTCCAACAAATTGAGGGACCTATTGTTTGTTTTAAGCCATCTCTCAGCTGTTATTTCATGCACTCGGGGTGGTTGGCATTTCTTTTCGAGGGGCGGTGAGAAGTAGAAAAATTTGTTTTAATAACTTCGGATGTTAATCTGATCAGGCTTTGGGCCCCTGACTCTTATAGCAAGCATTTCCAACCACTCTGCTACTACAACAACTAAACTCGGAACAATCTACTCGCTATCTAAATCCGATATATAATAGAAAAGAACACATTTTCGCTCTCCGAGCTGGCGCTCAGAAAGCCTCGCCTTAATTCCCTCAAACGAGAAGTTGGGAGAACAAAACAACCAGAAGAGAGAAATATTAATACTATTAACGTATGGGTAAAGGGTTGGCACAAGAAGGTTGGCGGTGGAGCATTTCTTTGAGAAACATCCATGAACACAGACCATTACTGTGTTTTCAGTCCGAAATTGTCTCTACCAAGAAATTGGTGGACTTACTGTTGGGTACCATGAGCCAATGGAAGCACATCTAGTGAGTGGTAGCGAGATCGCCGGATTTCAAGTTATCCACTGCATTTGCAATGCAAAAATTGAGATTCCTAGGATTTCTTATGTATTTTTTCAACTTCTGCATTTATGTGGAATATGTGTCTGTGGTATTTTTATATTCTAATGTTGAATGAATTTTCCCTGTACCTTCCCTGTCCAAAGGAACAGTGGTAATACTTTATACAAGATGGTGAAAACGTACATTAGCGGTAGTCGGTGCAACCTTGCATTCTTCCATATCGAAAATGTTCGTAACATCTGACTTACCTACAAATATGTTAATCGTTGAAGCTCGAGAAAATCCGGTCGCCGGTTCACTGAAGAGGAATGAAAGTAAATAGGTAAATGGTAGAACGGAAAATCCAAACATTATCAGTAGGAAGAAATAGCGAACTGAAATAGAGAGCATATATTACAAATATGATAAGAATCATCGCACATTTTAATTGATAACAATTTTACAGTTCTCAACTTACTCAAATCTCCAAAGTTCGCATAGCCCTCCTCTTGGAAGCAAGCCAATGTTATAATCACTATCAAAGCGGTTAAAGCGTAAGTGGCCATATCCCAAAGCAGCTGCGAGAGCCAAAAAGTCCAAACACGTACACCACCAACGAACTGCAAAAGCTTCGAGCGCGTTTCACGCTCCTTAATCAGGAACAGAATGTAGAATGCGCTCACGAAACACATACAGAAACCCACATTCGTAGCCAATTGAGTGCCCACATTTGTGCCGGCATTCAATTGTGCCAATTTTGTTTCCAGGGAATACGGCAGCGGCGCATTAATAACGGTTATAGATGCCTCAGATCCAAGAAGTACTCTAAAAAAGATATTCATTGCATTATTATTAAAAAACAATAAAGTAAATTAATGTAAATTAAATTAAATTAAATTAAATTAAATAAATTATTATTTTAAAAATGAATATACAAAATAAAAATTGATAAAATAAAGTTAAACCTTTTTTTTAGCATTAATATTTATTTCTTGAATCTGCTTCGACATCGGAAGTCTAAAAATAAGTAATAAAATCTTAAAGTAAATTAAAACATAAAACCCATTAGTAGGAGTTGGCTGCTGGCTTGAAGTTGCTCTTTAGAAGGCTGTTTTGTCTCGCCTTCCCGCAGGCGGGTTTAACTTGCTGCATAGGCCAAGGTGTTGGCTAAAGGGTTCGATTTGGTTACGCGGTTTTATTAAGTATTTTTGCGCTGCAATTTCCATTTCTTCTTTGATGGTAGGTATATTTAGATCTCTAGGGATATTTTCATTACGCATGTACCATGGAGCGCCCGTTATTACTCTTAACGTTTTCGACTTGAGTTATATCTATATTCGTTGTACAAGCTGTGCCCCATTACCGGATTCCATACATCCATATCGGTTTTATTGTTGCATTATAAAAGATGACTTTGTTGCTAAGGCTAAGTCCAGACTTCTTGTTTAAAAGTCAATGTAAACTGGCAGATTTGAGTTTAAGCTGTAGCTTTTTAGAAGCAATATGTCGTCTCCAGGTTAAGCACCTGCCCAAGTGGATTCCGAGGTATGTAATTTCGTCAGCGTGCGGGATCGATGCATTGTTGGGTTTAACAGTAAGGCACGTTTGTAAAAGTGAGGTGCTTGCACTTGTTTTCATTAACTTTTATGTGCCATTTCGCTAGCCATCCTCCAATTTTTGTAAAGTGCTGCTGTAACACTTTTTGGCTGTAATAGGGCATTTGTGTCGACTTATTGTAGCAGTATCATCCGCAAGTTGACGAAATTGCTTCGCCACTTGTAGGAATATCCGCGGTGTACAAAATATACCATATTGGTCCAAGAACACTACCCCGCGGAACACCTGCCGTGATTGAATGCTCTTCTGTTATGTAATCGTTTGCCTTTGCAGTGAATCGATGGTCGCAGTGCTTGACAATTATTCTAGCATTTTTGGCGAGACATAATCGTCTTCTGGAGATTTTTTTTGATTTGAGGTTATAATAATGTTTTTTACTTCAGACACATATGCTCCGCAAGTAACAGTGTATCTAGGAGCAGTATGGTTCGGTGACAAAGGTGCGCTGTTTGTAGCAGTAGTTGAAATACTGTACTGAGGTGCTCTCTAAAACAATACGCTCTTTCTTCATCCGTTCTGGACCATGAACCGTTATCGGTCTCAACGGTACCTTAGTGATTCCTGGCACCTTAAGGTTTTTGCTAGCTTTCCATAGAGATTTTTTAGTAGAAACGTTGGGAGACAAAGACGTTATAAAATTTTTAATATTTCTTTCTTCTTCGTTATTGCTTAGTATATTTTCCGTCAACTTAAGACGAATTTTTGCATCGGGAGATCGGTAGGTGTGCCATTCGCGATGCAAGCGTCGCTTATTACGGACCAGTAACTCTATTCCGCTATTAGTTATCCGTGTTCTGGTTTTTTTTTTTGCTCTGGTGTTGCTATAGTTTCTGCTGTTATTAGTACACTGTTAAATGATACAAGTAACTCGTTGTCAATATCACTTCCCCTCTCTATTTGCGGATTGGTCTGTATATGACTGTTAATGTATTTTTTATATTTAAGCCAGTTAGTTCTGATCTTGATGTAGTAAGTCGAAAAGCATGCTCACTTTCAATTACTTCTTCGTTCAATTCAATGACCATTAAGGAATGATCAGAAGATAAATCAGCACAGGTTTCCTATCTAGGTTTTTTGTGGACTGCAGAGTCAATTAGGCCAGTAAGTTGGCTGTCTTGGGGAGATAAAATCGTATAAAACTGGCGACCTTTCCGGTTAATTAGCTTCGATCCACAATGAGTATGCTTCGCATTGTAATCACCCCCAGCTAAAACCTATCTTCTAGAGTCATGAAAAAGTCGCGAAATTGTTTTTCTGTTATTACGAAGCGGGGCGGACAGCAAATCACAGCCAAAGTAAGGTCAACCCCCCTATTTTTAAGGGTGATCGAAGTTGACTGCAACCAATTTGTTGAAAAGTAATTGAGGAAGCTGTGCTTTAAAGCTTTGCTCATGATTACAGCTGTGCCACCATGAGCTTTGCTATCGGGTTGATTGGGATGTGTTTCAGATAGAAGCATAACATCAATTTCGTGAGTCTCTAAGAATAATTTGATAATGCTGGTTTACAGCATTAGCATTCCATAAACAAACCCTGAGTTCACTCATTTTTTAGTCATCAGGGTTTGAAGCATTTGGTTTTACGCTTTTATTAGATTTTGAACCATACTTTCCATGGTTGATAAAAAATCATGGCCTCAACTCCAGTATTGGAAGGAGTGGCTGGTAGAGCCTGTTTATTGGCTTTTACTGAGTTGGCATATGTCATTTGACCAGTATTTGAGGTAGGTAGATTAGAAAGTCTCGGGTTGGAAGGAAGTTTAGATTTTAAATCTCTTTGTAAACCGGAAAACCTGTATAATTAGCGGTGTGATTGCCACCGCAGATGCTATACTTTTCTGCGTTGTATCCGTTTTATTCACGGACCACTTGGTATAATGGAGAAGAGAAAAGACCGCAAAATGAATGCGTTTCGTTCTTATTAAGTTGAACTGAGCTTGGCGATAAGAACACGTTAAGCATAGGCTGCGGCATTTTATTTCTGTTAATTATGTTAACGACTGCCCTGATCTTAAATCCGTGCTCTTCTAAGGCTTCTTTTATATCACCTGAGTCAACCGTGGCTTCAATTCCCTAAACTACCATAATCGGGTCTTTCGCACTCTTTAACTCTTGTAACACTTGTTGTTTTCAGAAAGAAACACAACGGCATCACGAAAATCTTTTCCACTGTATTTTTGCCTCGCCTTTGTTTCCTCTTTTGAGAGGTCCAATGTGCAAATTGCTAGTACCTATTATCTTGGCTATGTTAGTAACGAGTAAATTAGAGCTGAGCTCCTGCAAGTGGATTGGTGGAAGTTTAGTATTAGCGACTGTGGAAATGCCTCTTGGGTCAGTTATAGGCTCTTCCTCATTTAACGGGGCAAATCTGCTCTTTTTTATTGCATTACCATCAGTATCGATATTGACGACGGTAACGGTATTGTGCTTCACTTTTTTGGGAGAACTAAATTTCCACTTTTTGCTTAACACATTTAGCTGTTCCTGTTTCTGCTGTTGCTCGAGATGCAGTGAAAAGAGATATTGCACTCTTTGTATTCTTTGTTGCTGCAGGTCTGCGTTGGCGTCTTTAGAGATGAACTGTTTGCCTTTACATTGCTATTGGGTGGTGATTTTTTCGCAACAACAGTGAAATAAGCATTTCTCTCTGCTGTCGCGACTGAATGCCATCACTCTTGTGATTTGAGGGTTAGTCCCACATTAAATGCCGGTTCACTTTTCACTTTAATTTCTGATTTAATTTTCTGTTAATTGTTTATGCTTACAAATGACTTTTTTATTGTTTTTTTATTTTTTTTATGTCAACTTGAATAGCTCTACATCCGCTAAAACAAATGTATAAATTTCAACGATTTAATCTCAGCATGACATCTGGATGTTAGTACGACCCGAGCCTTCCGAATAGCAGTACGCAATGCTACCTCGGCCGCCATAGCATATTTTTAATTAAATTGCAATAAAATAAAATAATGTAAAAAAATTAAGTAGAATAAAATAAAATAATATGAAATAAACAGAGTTCAAAAAATCAAATAAAATTGATTAAAATAAAATAAAATTAAAATATGTATTTAAATTAAATTAAAAAAATTTATATTAAATAAAATACTTAAACCTTAGTAAAACTCAGAAAAATAGAATGTAATCAAATATTTAAACAGAATGAAGTTCAATAAAATAAAATAAAACAAAAACATAAAATATATAAATGAGCAAATTAAAATAAAATAAAAAGAATTAAGTTAAAAAAAATAAATTTATTAAATTAAAATAAAACAAAGTAATAAAACAATTAAATGAAATTAAATAAAGTAAAAAAATGTATTAAATTAAATGAAAAAAATTAAATGAAAATGTACATATTTATATATAAACAACACAAAATGTAGTAAAACATAAAACCATATATATATGTATTTGTGGAGCTCACAATTTCGCCGTACTTACTTTGCCATAGCATTATGCACAAGATTAACCGTTAACGGCGCTGTATGTAACGGTTGATTGTTCAACCAAGCCGTTATGGTGCCATTACTAACGGTTGCAGCCGCCACATAACGAGAATTAATACGCACTTGTTCGGTTTGGCCCAAATCCAGAATATATTGGGTAAAATTTTTGTCCTCCGTCAGTTGGAGTTTATGATGGGACCCATAAGAACCAACAATACTTTTATACTCCGCAGCAATGCGTTGTTCTATAGAGCCCGGTGCAATATCTTCTGCTGTCTCAAGCACCGTAAACGTATTCGGGTATTGCGTCAAACTAATCTTTATGGCAGGTAGCTGTCGAAATGTGCTTGCATTACGCGAGATCAAAATAGTGATGACAACAAAGAATATTGGCAGACAATTTTGTATAAGAAAGAGGAGCTTTTTACGCCACGTGTAGAGATACTTTTTGAGAAACATAGCGTGCCACTGATTTAAGTAAAGATCTTTGCCCCTGAGTAGCCGCGTATTTTCAGAGAACATGTTGTCGGCTGTTGAATATAAAAGACAGAAGTTACAATATTTGACTGTTAAAATCTTTTTTAAATACAGTAAAATTAATGCACTTACAATTTATCGACTCAACATCGTCGTCATTATAGCCACTGCCGCCATTCATTATCGTAAGTTGTTCCTTCTTTGTGCCGTTGCCTGAGTTCTCAGCGCCCACTTTCATGAATACCTCTTCCATTGAGGTAATACCCACGCCATAGCCACCCAGCATCAAGTTGCCAGAGTTTGTTTCCAAGTCACTAAACATCTCCTCGAAACGCGCCGAGTAGTTATCAGGCAACTGATAGGATAATTCAGCGCCAATATCAGCCTCGGGCCGTATGCCAGGTATATATTTACTTAACAGCGCTGTCACTTCATTAGCTTTGCAGCCGTCACGTTTAACACAAATTAGACGATAACCAGAACCATATTTCTTCTTTAAGAAGAATGAGGTGCCGTGGCATTTTAGTTCACCATCGCACATTATAGCAATACGATCGCCCAACACATCAGCTTCATCCATGAAATGTGTTGTCAAGAGTAGTGTGCGTCCGATTTTTTCTGCCTGCAATAAATCCCATAATTGACGTCTCGCTGCCGGGTCCAAGCCAGAGCTGGGCTCATCGCAAAGTACCACTTTTGTGCCACCGCATAGCGCAGAACATACCGACAGCTTGCGCTTCATGCCACCTGACAAGTTTTTAGATGCCACATTCGCTTTATCCTCTAACTCGATCATACGCAAGTACTTATCTATCTCATCCCGAATTTCATCACCTTTGAGACCTCGCAAACGGCTGAAGAATACTATGTGATCGGCCACACTTAAGTCGTCGAACAGCACATTATGCTGCGGACAAATGCCAAGCGACATACGGGCACCCTCTATATTCGTCCGTATATCATAGCCGTTGATTACTGCTGTGCCGGCGGTTGGTGGAAACATGCCAGTTAGCATGGAAATTGTGGTTGTCTTACCAGCGCCATTATGACCCAACAACACTGTTATCTCATCCTCATACATATTCACAGACACACCCTTCACAGCGTACTTATCCCCGAAACGTTTCTTTAAATTCTTCACTTGTAATCCAACATGTTTAGAAACCGGTTCTGGTTCGAAGGCTTCCAGATTTTTACGTTCAATCGAAGCACTCGTCATATCTTCAACACCCGCATAATCCTTTTGACCACACCAAAAGCTGCGTGTAAGTGGAAAGTTCCATTTCTTAGGCACACCGAAGTCGCCGGGCATAATTTGCTCCACATATAAACATATAAGCATGTAAATTACGGAAGAACCCAACATCATCAACATTATAGCGCCGACTGTTAGATTAGAGTCTACCGAAACGGTTTTAAATAAATTGCTCCATTGTAAACCCTCGCCGCTGCCTTCAAAACCCAATATTTCTTTGAAACCGAAACCCATAGCGGTATTGGAGATCAAGCACCAACCCAACTTTGAGCCCAGTGACATCTGTTCATAGTTTCTTACGGTAAACGACAAAGGTAGATAGGTGATGAACCAAACTAAGCCGGTGACTGCGGCGGCCGTGCTGGCGCTTGAGAAGAATGTCGCCATCATGAAGCAGAAGCAAATACTAGCAATGGTGTAGACAAGCAAGAATACCAAAAGCACAGACCAATCACTAAAGGTGAGCACCGAGACACCTTCAACCCATTTGATCTAGGGAAGAGAAAATACAATATTTGAGATGCTTAATTAAGTCTCTTTAACTTGAACACAAAGTTTACCTTAATCAGAAGTATGATGAGCACAGAAGAAACTCCCAACATTATAAATGATTTTACGAACCAAGCAGTCCAGTGTAGCCAGTTATTGAGACCCATGATTTTCATTACCTCCTTCAGTTGTTTTTCCTTTTCGACGGTGATATTCTGTAATATTCAAAGACTTCTTTACAACAGTTGTCTTTTATTTATAAGACTTTCACTACAATTCAAGGGACATAGCCGTAGCCAAAAGCCTAATCAATTTTTGTGGAAAGTTTTAGTTCTTATCAGAGATAACTCGGTGGTATTGTTATTTCTGGCCGAAAAAACGATTACAATATAGAAAAACTGTTTCGTAGGGACTGGTTCCGCCTCTTCGTTTCTCAAAAGATGGTACTTGAACTGTATAGTTTCATAAAAGTAACTCAGAGCTGATAGTGACCAAAAAGGTTTCTACACATTTCAAACTGCCCTTTTTCATAGCTCCCTATCTTCGAACTGTTCTTCAGCTTGGAATACTTGTATTCGAATTTTATAGAAAAGACATTTATTATGTTGTTTCTTTTCTTCTTTAACCGCTAACCTATACAGCACATATATGTAAAAACCACAAAATATAGTTTAATCTCTTCGGAGAGTTAACTATTTATAGTAATAATTCGATATTTTCCGGTCTCTGACGTTATATTTACCCCACCGATCGTTGAGCTCCAAGAATGATACTGAAATAACATTTATTAAAAGTTATTTTTTGTGATTTACTTACCTTTGTTATTGATGTACATGGATAAATGAAACTTAGTACGACGATCAACGACAATATCGTTTCCAAAGCCTCTATTAGCGGATCACTTATATATTCCGGATAGGGGTAACGTTGCATCTCGACATATGGCAAATTATCTCTATTGCCAGCCAATTTGAGGTATGCCATTGAGATAGCCTGTTGTACGGGCAGGAATCCTTCTCTTAAATAACCCACCGGAAGACCGCCATCTTCATCAGTGGGATTACGTGGCCCCGGGGTATCGAAAACCGGAAATAACTTCGAAGTTAACCATGTCCAACCCAATGTACGAGTCGCTGTACGCAATTCGCTCGGGAAACGCAATGAATAGACGAAATTACTCGGATAATCATTGATATTGATTAGAGATTCATCGAATTGCACGCCAGCCAAATAATTAGCCGTAGTAAATGCATTCTCTAAAGCCGAAGCATTCGGATAACTATCGTAACCTTCCAGATTTAGACTTTCTGTAGCCTCTATAATTATAGCTTCCAAGAAGGTGTTGTTCGGCGCGTAGGCTAATCTGGAGAGTGGTCTATTGGCTCGGGCCTTGGTGCTCAATGCGTCACTGTGCGATTTAACGTTGATTTTGTTGATTTAGCATAATGAGAGTGGCAAAAAGTTTATTAGTTTACAGATACATATTAAAAATTAAACAAATTGGGCAGACATCAAATCAAAAGAACATTTACATGCAAAGCGCAAATAATAAAAGCAACACAATAAAATTGGTATATAATAATTTATGTGTGGATATAGTAATTGCGTAACTTCAATACCCAGGTTCTCACACCCACTGATATTTTCTAAAAATTTCGAATCTGTGTCATAAAGCGATTCGGCGGTGCTTTCCTCCAACGAACTACTGTTACGCTTTCATAGTTCTGCTATTGAAGTTCTACTATGTCATATGTATAGTATGTACAAATATACATATATAATATTACGTTACAATTCGCGACAGGATTTTTTTCGATTTCTTGTTTATTCGACTTCCCTGCTGAACTTGAAGATAGAGTTGGGTTTGGAATGCACAAACAGCAGTCATTCATCAAGGTCTCTGTTCCAAAAGCATTAATGAAGCCACCCAGTCTCATTAAGACCACCAAATCTGTGGCAGAAAATATTATTGTTCAGCTGGTTGCGAAGAAAGTGTGATAATAAAGTGTTCATATTACATAAAAAACAGAAAAACACCATATTTTTGTCAAAATCTTTTAAAAATTGTTTTACAAGTCCTGGTTTTTACGATACCTTCGTACTCAAGGTTGGTAATTATTGGCTTATGATTCAACTACTCATCTTAAATACCTTCCATCCGTAGTAATCTATCTTATGAGAGCGCCGTTACTGACGGCTGTCCCACAGAAACCAGCGGCGATTTGATTTTTTCCGTAAAACCGGCTCGGCTTATTTCTCATGGCTATACAATGTTGTCAGTATAGGCTTTCTTAAAGTAACATTAAATAATCAATGATAATGCGAAATGAAAACCAAGTTCATAACTAATTATCTTTTACCATATAGATCACATATATTTGACTATCGTTTATATTCAAGCATATAAATTACGAAATTCGTTGACGAAAATTATAAATTTGTATAAAAGTATGCAATCACAAAGGCAGCTGGCAACATTTTACGGCTGTCAGTAGTGTCGATAACTCGTGTATGCATATCGCTCTTCCAGTCGGGTGTTATGGCCGGATGTACGTAAGATGGGTAGTCGTTTTAACCATGAATCACTTCTCACCCAAGCAACGCTTCGAAATAGTGACGCTTTACATGAAAAACAATCATTCAGTTATACTCGTATTAACTAAACCAAACGTGCATATCGTACAATAGGCACCGTTTGACAACACCGTTCGTAGTTTCCTGTCGAATTTCGTTGAGCTGTAGGAGCATAATTTATGCTGTCAAAGAGAGTGTATGTGTTGTCAGATCCTACGAGAGACGTGACGTTATCGCGCGCAGCATTTCGGTGTCAGTGAACACACTACGAGTATGCCCGCCACTTTGAAGGATAATTTGGATTTTTTTTTTCATGTAAAGTGCAAAATGATCGAAATCTACATCAGACTGTCTGGAATAGTTAGTAAGCAAAGATGGGAAAAGGAAATCCATTAAAGATCCATAAAATGCCGATGCACGACAGATGACTTTGACTGGCCTTCCAGATCTACAGGTTTGACTCACTCTGACATCTTTACGTTGGGTTATTTGAAAAGCGAACACCAGCAAACCATAAACCAGTTGTGTTTCACATATATAAATTGGTCAAAACTACAGCAACAGTTGCAAAAAAACTCCTTTTACATTTGGAGAATGTGCAACTGGTAACTATCCTCATAACGAAAAGCAACTGGAGTGGTTATGTACTTTTAGGGTTTTGAGTGTAATGTCACTGGAGATCAATGATGGGTTTATCGTCTTAAATCTTTGATATGTGCCGTGGTGTAAAAAGAACGCACCATCCCTAAAGCAGTAAAGTGTTGGAAGCGGATTGTGAATAGGATTTGCGCAACTTTATTACAAAAAATAACTACTTTTTTGGCGAATATGAAGTCTTCAATCGAATTCAATACTACATAGGCTCCAAAATCTTAACTAGAAGTTTTTTCCAAACAACAAAATCTAGAGGAACAATATAGTCTACATTATTCTTAATGGGTTATTGGTATTATATCAAAATGGCATAGCCAAAACCATAGTCGTAGCAAAATTTATTTAAATAGGGAACATTTTATTCATGTACGCCCACATATTGTTCAAATTAGTGCTAAAATTTGTGTATCACATAACATAAATAAATACTTTGACTACTTAATTACGTTAATTATGGTTAGCACAAGTGCATTGCTTATTTTCACAACAACGAAACGGGGTAGATAAATATGTAATGTTATTAGTGCAATTTATTGTGACTTAAATGTGTTTTGTGGTCAATTAGGTGTGGTAAATTGGTTAGTTTTGCTTATGTGTGTGTGTGTCTTTTGCGATAATTTGTCATTTACCTGTCCCCTTTGTATAAACCGATCATTTGCTTCACTCTTCGCGCATTTGCCAACTCTTTGCTGTGAGAATTTATAAAAAAATATATATTTATATATATGAAATGATAATTTTCTATACAAAAGTGAAAATAAATATAATAAATAATTAATTAAACATTTTGACCTAAGTCTACAAATGTGGGAACATTTAATTATCCTGATTATAAAACTGATTGTTGAAAAAACCAATTGTATACATATACATATATTCCTCAAAAAAATTATTTTTTAATATAACGATTTTAATTTTGTATTTAAATATATTTAATATATATGCAACCCTGCTAGCAGCCAATTGCTACCACATTTTCGGGTAAAAACGAAAAGAAATTTAACTTGATAACTGCTTTAACTGCTTTTCGCAATGTTTCAACCGAAACGATCAAGTCGTATTTACAGGGGTTACATACGTCCAGAATTTTCAAAAATTCGATTTTTTTTTATAGGTTATTATTCTTTATAGTTTTAGGCGTATTTCTGTGAAAGTCGATTGTAAAAATTCCCCATAGATACAAAGTTATGGTAGAAAATCAGACCGCCCGACGAGAGTTTAATGCACACAGGTAGCTGTAACACACACATGACACATGAAAGTTTAAACGCGTTTTTCTCGAAACTAGTTTTCCCGGCACGGTCTGCATGATAACTCATACAGTTTTTAACATTCTTTGATGCGATTTTTTTTTAAATATTCGAAAATGTTTTCTCTATAGTCTGTCGAGCCGTATTTTCGATATTTTTATTAAAAAATTTTATGAACATAATTAAAGTGTGACATTTATGACGTAAAACGCATACTTTTTTTCTAAATTCCGTAAATTGGAAAATTTTTCGAAATTAAAAAATTCGGCTCGACAGACTATAACTACAACTTCATTTTACAAGATTTTTTTTTATTTTTACAGATCCACCAACATTCCAAGAATAAATGATGCAGACCGTGGAGCAACTTTTTTTTCATTGTACTTTGGGTCACGTGATATTTTATGTACTAATTTTTGTAAAGAAAAATTAAAATACATTTTTTTATAAACTTTAAGTACCAATAAACATTGTATAAAATTTCTTTATATTTATTTCTATTGTTATCCCTTCTGAAAACAGTTTTTGTTTTAGCGCATTTTTGGTGCTGCTGGACGTATGTAACCCCTTACAGAAGGTGAAGTTGTCACATCATATGATTGCTTGCTCTTCATTCCATTTCAGAAACTTACATAAACAAAATGCATGAGAAATAGGTTTTGGCATTTCGAGCGTTCGTTCGTGTGTGAATTTGTCTTGGAAACTTTAGAAATTTTTCGAATAATGCCTGAAATTTGTCGTTACGATGCAGCCTTGATTTGAACCAATTGTCGAAACACAAAATTATAAAAAGTTATTTTTTTAACAGAAAATAGAATCTAGATCGAGGTATTGTAATTAAGGAAATAATAATTTAATACTAATTTTAACAATTTTTCAATATGTATTTTATTGGCATGTTTTTTTTTTATTTTATATTCAACAATTGCTTTTTGAAAACAAATAAATAATTGAAATTTTTAATTTTACGCATCTTTTATTAGTTTTCAAATTATACACGTATATTATACTTCGAAATATGTATTGTACATGTATACAGTAGAAAACGCGTTTTTAAACAATAAAATCCACTTTATTTTTGCCTTAGTTAACTAAATTTAAAAAATGTATATGCAGCTTGAACCAACGACCTGGCGAAGTAAACGTTTGCACACGATATTTTTTAATAAACAATTTTATAAGCCAATAATGGACGATACAAATTTTGCAGACACAATTTCAACCAATTTTCGTACACAAAAATAGATTTTTTTGTTTTGTAAAAAATCACTGAAAATAAAAAATTCCATAAATAAATGCATTACTTACTCGAAAACATTCAAATTAGAAATATTTAATGGTTCGTAATAAGTCACATCCATTGAGTCCACCTCCACCAGAACTCGCACCAGGACCAGCAACAGTGAAAAAACGGCGGGTAAGAGTAATTCGACGACCAGTTCGAGTTTGTGATTCCATTGTAGACTCCAGTTTTTCCATAATAACAACTTAAATTTCTCCCAACTGGACACTTTCACGTGACCATTGGACGCGTCCATTGCGTCCAGCTATTTGTGAATGAACGTATGTATGTATGTATATACTACTAGTTATATTATTAACTAACCGAGGCAGTTAATGCAGTAAGGTGCGCCGCTATTACTGAGTATTTTCGAACTTTGTTCTTAAGGCTCTGAAATGAAAGTAAATAGAAAGGTAAAAAATATAGCTACGAGTTATATTCTCCATCAACAATCAAACAGACGGTCATAAAGATTAAATAGTAATCAAGTTATTGGTGTTAATATGTATTCTAAAGTCTTCCAAATAATTAATTTTTCGGCTTGAGATTTGTAATCTATAATCGCTTAAATGGCGTCTACTGAACCAAAAAAAAAAAAAACTTCATACGATAATCTATTCATATTTCTGCAAATCAGCGACAATTACGAGCAACACTTCGCTCGTAGAGCCAGGAGAAGCTGTTGTAGTCAAAGCCTTAGTCTTATCGAAAATTATCGTCGTTGGTGTTAGGTGGTTTGTGATATGTTTGGGTTTATGGCAACGGCATGAGTTTTTTTATAATATTTATGTCAGACAGTTAATTGCTTGAGAGATCGTCTTTACTTTATTAAGTTATAATATGAAATTACAATAAAAAATTCCAGACGGGTTTGGACAGAGTTTTGACCAAAGCCTCATGTATCAAAAAATTGGTGTGTGGCAGTTATATGTTATAGTCGTGTGTTTTAGATCATTTTTAGTACCAATGTGTAATTGTATTGTATACACTTGTAGAATACCATATTTTATACTCCTAAGTGCGCTTTTGTCGGATTTATGTCCCAAAATATCAAATATGAAAAATCTGTATATATGTTATAGCTGTCCGATCTGGCCGGTTCCAAAAAAAATTAATTTAATTTTAAATTGAGTGTATTTCAATCAACAAACTTGGATGGTTTCTGTGCTGCCCGTGCACTAGAACTTCAAAAAAAAATCAAATCAAACCTCAATAATCGTTTCAAATTAAGAGGTTGATGACATAATGAGCGCTAAATATATCCCACCCGTGCTAGTAACCAACATTATGGAGGTTCTATGAAAGAGGGATCATATTACACGTAGCTTCCTGCCTCAAATCGACTTCACCGACTTTTTCAAAAAAAAAAAAAAAAAAAAAAGGAAAAAAATTTCGAGCAGAGGATGGCTTTGATCGCAAGAAAATTTATTTAGTAAAGTATAACTTGGAAATTTATTGAGTAGCGACCAGAATAGTCGAGCATTTATGAGGTCGCACCACCATACGGAAGGTTATGGAAAAAGGTTCCTGGTCCGATCAACATGGGTAACTATAGAAAAGCAATATTATATTGTAATTGCAGTAGCCTCTTGGCTGGGAATGTAAAACCCTCCGAGTATATTTCTGAATACAAATTTGTAGGCCCTTCACTTGTTGGAAAAATATCAAAACCACAAATTGGAGGTGGAGATTAAACGACAATCCCTTCAGCGGTTACAAGCGCCAGTTTTATTAAAATGTCTCATAATTTACCTAATTAAACTTTTGTTCACACGTTGTACATATGCACGTATGTATCTACGTTTATGCGTCATGCAAACAGCTTTATTCCAGCAAATTTAAGTACGAGTACACCCTTAAGTCTAATCAGCTAAATTCAAGTTTTTTGACATCACACATAGTGGACAATATGATGCGGTTGGCTTCACGTGACATATCGAATGACGGCCAATAACGACATGTATATTTGTACACATACTCGTACACGTATGTACATACCACTCATCGACTATAGACAATAATTTTATTTGTCATTCAATCCCGAATCGTTTGATTAGTTCAAATGATATAAAGGTGAGTGCAAAATGCAAACTAATGACTAATGAATAGTCGTACATACATATATGTGCATACGAGGTGTGTTCAAAAAGTATCGCGAATTTTGAATTTTCGCGAATTTTGAATTTTCGCGGGTTACGAATAATCGAATTTCGATTTTTTTGTGGCGTTATGTTGGTACTCATGTCTGTCACTACTGCCGACAAGCTCGGCCATTTTGAATGCTCACTTAATTGTTGACAGCTGCTTTGCTTGCACGTGTTTTGGATGGTCTTCAATTTTTACCTTTTCAAAAAAAAAATGGATCAAAGAACCTGTATCAAATTTTGTGTGAAAAACGAAATTAAGTACGCGTATGCAAACTAAATGTTGCCTGTGGCATACGGAGAAGCTACCTTGGACCGACGCAACGTTTATCGGTGGTACAAAATGTTCTCAGAAGGCCGAGAAGATGTGAACGACGAAGAGCGTGCCGGACGCCCGAGCAGTTCAACAACAGACGAAAAAATTAATTGCACGGGCGTGGTGCACCATGAGTTCTTGCCACAGGGTAGAACGGTCAAGAAGGAATATTACCTGCAAGTTATGCGCAATTTGCGTTGACACAAGTGTATAATATCTCATGGGGATTACTTTGAAAGGGACGAAATGGATATTCATGAATAAATAAATAATTTTTGAAAAAACACAAAATTCGCGATATTTTTTGAACACCCCTCGTACATATTTGAGTAAACATCATTCCTATCTTGATAATGTAAAGTTATGATAAATAGAAAATGGCGAAATTCCTATTTGAGTTATAAATATTGTGGTGCATATTCATAAATTCAGTATTTGCTGAGTAATGCTCACGTTGCTGATTTTCTGTTTTTATTTAATGCTACTAATTTTAGATTAATATAGTTTTTCATATGTTATTACACCGATCGAAACCAAAATTTATTAAGCGGAAACCAAATGTACCAAATATGAAATCACTCTTTGTAAAAGAAAATAATTCATACAGTCGTACTCCCATTGTTTTTGTTGATGTTGTTGTCTCGGCTCGCCAAACCCCGTTAAGGGATAGGTAAGGTCAGTCTAATTCATCGAGGTCATCTAACGGGAGATCCACGGGCTCGAACCAGAGGGAAAAGGGGTAAGACATGCAAAGAGATGGAAGAGTGAGTGGGCGGCACTCATTGCATGCAAAACCATACGTTAGTTACCTCGGGGTCGAATCTGAATAAGTAGAACTTTAACCTGCTACAATTTCCAGACTTAAGTTGCGCCAGTATTACACGGTACTCTGATGCAGCTGGACCTTCGTTTTGTGTAATAAGTGCTGGTTTGACACCATTCACTGGAAGAGAGTTCGGAAGGTGGTGACGGACTCTCAGTGAATGGGGTTTAATGTCTGATTTATGATTAATACAAACAGATTTATGTAAGTGCTCGCAGCTTGCTTTATTTTACTTACTTTACATAAATATATGTAGACCATTCACTGGTAGTAAGTACAATATGATAATTTGAGTTGCTTCTGACTTCACACATTTATTAGATCTGCATGCATTTAAAGACTTAATTCGAAGTTCTGGAAGTAAATGAGGCCTATTGTTAGCTTTACGGTCGATAGAGAAGCTGACGAAAATCCCGGACAATTGACAAAGATTTGGTATTAAAAAATTTAACAACTGCTGGTGAAATTTTCGAAACCATATAGAGTTCAGCAAGCATTGAGAGCGCTGAAGTTGTGTCAACATTTATCCATGCAACTAAGTTGAAGGAAATAATTGATCACTGATCAAATGTGGTGGAAAAATATTCAAAATTAAGTTTACGCACTTTATGGGCAGACCCAAATAGCCGACTGGAGGAGAGATGTGCATATACACGTTACAGACGTTTCTTGCAGCGGCGTAGTGTTGCCAGCTGCCAATGTGTTCGCATACTTTCAAACAAATTTATAATTTTCTGACCTGGATCTGTACAAAAAAAAGAACAAATTTGTATTGCATACCATAATATTAATCGAGATTCGGGACTCGCATCACTACGTCAGTCATGTCTGTATAGACAATAAAAGTTAGTAGATACGAGAACATAAAACTTTGAACTTGACGCACATAAATTATTTATGACTAACAAATACAATCGAATCCTTGAGAAGCGTGTTTACATTTAATGAAATGAGGAATATTACGCATTAAGGTGAACATGAAAGTTTTAAGAAGAAATACCTAATGATTTGGATAATAAAAAAAATTAGACAACTAGACAGTATTTCTACACTATACTGTTGCTATGTGTTATGGTCATCAGGCTGTTATTCGATAAAGATGGACGTGGACAAACAACAACCGTCAATAATGAGCATTATGGAGCTGTGATAACATATTTTTTGCCAACTATACATGGAAACGACATGGAACCTACTGTTTCCGACAAACGGACAAATCGACTGAATTGGTCTTTCAAAATATTTTAGATTTAACTCATCCACAGCGGTAGTAAGACTAATCCTACTCTACGGTGTCACCGTGTGGTAGCGCGGATTTGAAAAAATTTCATTCCGGCGCAAACTAAAGAGAACTCAATGGTCTGCAGTTATTCTCATCACAGGAACTCCACTATCGACACTCTCTAAAGCACTGGAAAGCTCTCCCCAATTTCTTTTCTCTGCAGGGGGAAACTACACGCGATCTACAACATAATCAAATTAAACGCAACTTAGGGCACGCCACACAGGAATACCGACAGAGCTGGATAGCACCACCTCAATTATTTACTTCGACAATCTCTTTTTTAATAATAATATCAAACAGGAATGATGGGATAACACAAATGTCCAGGGTCAGAGACTCTAAACTCGATGACAAAGCAGGTTGCGGTATCCACTCGTCGATGCTTGCAATTAATATGAGTACAAGGCTACCCGGACATTGCAGCATCTTTCAAATAGAGAAAGAAATAAAGAAGAATAGAAAAAATGGACGCCTCAGAATAGCTGCACGAATCTTCGAACACACAATGAACTCTAAAGGCTGTCACAGAAAACGTTATCTCAGGGTTACTCATAATCCCTAACTTATAAAAATTTTTTAAATATGCTTATCTTAATATAATAAGGGAATATTTAAAGTAATAAGTCAGAAAAAAAAATAAATAGGCCACATTAAATTTCGAGTCTAATTGCGGCCGCCCTTTGGCAGAGAATATCAACCCTTTCAAGTGTAATTATGACATGAAATAAAGGCTCCTCATGAGAAGCCAACAGCCGTTCGTAGACGGCCTAGTATAAACTGTATGTCACTCCATTTTTTTGGAAAAACATCAAGACGGAAAAC